TCAGATCTCTCTAGATGAGAGTGCTTAGTGTTGGTAATCTGCGTTGTTAGCGAGATTAGCCGGTTGTTAATAAGTCTGTTCTTCTCTGCTTGATCTCTTAATTATTCGGTTGTGTGATTAATGAGGATTAATCGAGTATTTATAGCCTTGGGAAGCGTGCAGCTCTCTAGGTTTAAGGTAAACCTAGGGCTGATCGGGCCTCTAGACTGAATTGGGCCTTAATGGCCGGTTGTCCCATTTGGCATGGGTGGACACGTGGCGTGTCTTAAGTGGTCCATGGAGGACGTATCTGTGATTGACACGTGGCAAGCTCCTGTTGGCCTTTGTGAAGGACACGTGGCGGAACCTGGTTGGTCCACTTGTCAGACGGTGATTGGTGGATAAAAATCCCCTAATCACAAAGGGTATTACTTCTACAACAAATCCGAGAACAAAGTATTTGTTGCTCGTGATGGTGTCTTTTTGGAGAAGGAACACCTTTCAAAAATGACAAGTGGGAGGAAAATCGAACTCGACGAAGTTCGAGAGGACGAGCAACAATGTCAACCCGATAAAACTGACAATCTAAGTGCTTTGGAAGCAGCTGAGAAGATTGTTCAGAATCAAACAGACAATGTAAATGCTCAACCCATTACCCTTCGTAGGTCGCAACGACAAAGATCTCAACCAGACAGATACCTTGGTATTGTCTTAACCGATGATCAAGACATCCTAGTAATGGATGACGATGAGCCGGCGACATACAAACAAGCTATGACGAGCCCCGACTCTGCTAAATGGCAAAAAGCCATGAGATCCGAATGGACTCCATGTCTGAAAATCAAGTCTGGGACTGGGTGAATTTGCCCGAGGATTACACATCCATTGGTTGCAAATGGATCTTCAAATTGAAGACATACAAGGATGGAAATGTATCGATATACAAGGCTAGACTGGTGGCAAAAGGTTATAGACAAATCCACGGGATTGACTATGATGAAACTTTTTCACTGGTTGCAATGCTAAAGTCTGTCCAGATTATCCTAGCGATTGCTGCATATTACGATTATGAAATATGGCAGATGGATGTCAAAACCGCCTTCCTAAATGGGATTTTGGAAGAAACTGTGTATATGACATAGCCAGAAGGTTTTGTTGATCCAAGCAACGCTGGAAAGGTATGCAAGCTTAAGAAGTCCATTTATGGACTAAAGCAAGCTAGCAGGAGTTGGAATCTGCGATTTGATGAAGCCATCCGCAAGTTTGGTTTTATCAAGAATCCAGATGAATCTTGTGTATACAAGAAGGTCAGTGGGAGTGACATCGCATTCCTAGTCCTATATGTCGATGACATACTGCTCATTGGAAACAACATAAAATTATTAGAGTCCGTAAAGGGCTGGTTGGGAAGTGTTTTTCAATGAAGGACTTAGGAGAGGCACAGTACATATTGGGCATAAAGATCTATAGGGATAGATCTAAGAGGATGATTGGATTGAGCCAGAGTACTTACATTGATAAGGTACTGGCACGATTCCACATGGAGAACGCCAAGAGAGGGCATCTACCCATGTCCCATGGCGTAACTCTCAGCAAGAAACAGTGTCCACAGACACCTGTTGAGCGAGAGAGAATGAATCAGATCCCATATGCTTCACTAATTGGATCGATCATGTATGCCATGATATGTACCAGGCCAGATGTATCGCATGCCTTAAGCGCTACGAGCCGATACCAATCAAACCCAGGAGAAGCACATTGGACTGCGGCCAAAAATATCCTGAAATACCTGAAAAGGAACAAGGATAAATTCCTGGTCTATGCTGGCCACAAAGACCTGGTTGTTGAAGGTTACACCGACGCTAGCTTCCAGACTGACAAAGACGACTTCAAGTCACAGTTAGGATACATATTCTGTCTGAATGGAGGAGCGTTTAGCTGGAAGAGTGCCAAGCAGAACACCACTGCAGATTCTACAACTGAAGCCGAATACTTGGCTGCTTCAGAAGCCGCTAAGGACTGTTTGGATTCCCAAGTTCATCAGTGAACTTGGTGTTGTACCCTCCATCAAGGGTCCGATAGATCTCTACTGTGACAACAATGGAGCTATCGCTCAGGCTAGAGAGCCAAGAGAGCACCAGAAAGTCAAACATGTCCAAAGGCGATTTCACATGATAAGGGAATGGAAATCCGAAGGTGAAAACAGAATTTGCAAGATCGGCACGGATGATAATGTGGCTGATCCTTTAACTAAACCTTTGCCTCAAGTGAAACACAACAAGCACATTGAGGCAATAGGAATCAAGCACGTCGGAGACTGGCTTTGAAATTCCCTGTACATGTGTTTTAATTAAACTAGATGTTTTAATGTAAGACACTGTATTGAAACCATTCATTTATGGAGTAATTAATTTTTATGCAAAATTATTTTTCACTCCATTGCTATTTAATTGTGGTTTAGAATTAAATAATGAGTCCATTCGATTTATGGAAATATTCAAAACAGGGTATCAAGACCATGTCCTGCATAAAGAAACACCTGTTAAGTGAACATTGAATATTTAAATCGAAAATTATCCCTAATCGAGGTCATTTAAATGATGGACTATTGATGACTAACAGAGATTAGTGTGTAGTATGATTTACAGCACCGTTTCTTGTGCTGCAAGGACATGATGGTCATAAATCATTTGCACAGATGCTAGTTTGGAACTGCACTGGATAGACCTATGAGAGTACTTTAAAAGATTCAAAATTTTCATAAGTACATTTCTCATTATAGCTATCGGAAATCGTTTCCTCGACCATGAGTATTGTGAAATTTTCTTGTTTGAGTACTAGTCACTTTGATGTTACCTAACGTCTGCCGTAACTGGGGATCATAACGGGAACACTCAGGAGATTAGGTCCTCTTAGTAAGAGTAACTTACAATGCAAGACTGGGAATGTCCCCTATTAACAAGGCCGCTCGAAGAGCGAGACTGTGAAAATGCATGGCCGTGCTCAGATGGATTTTAGAAATCATCTGCTTATTGACAGTCGAACTCGGAGATCGAGAAACGATTCTAAACGAAATAAGGATGACGATGAATCTTACCTTATAGTTCACAAAGAGACATTAAGCGACATAGGAAATGGGCTATACACTGTATGCACACTTGTCCAAAAGGACAAGTGGGAGATTGAAAAGAATGGTGTCCTTCCAACAAGTGTATTATTATGATAGAGGGTTCAAAATTATTACAGAGCTAATTCTTCAGTAAGGTCAAGTGATCGGAATGCCTAGGTGGAGGCCGCTTCCGAACAGTAATATTAAGGTACAATTAATATTACAGCTTAATCTTAACTGAACCCTTCGGGTCGAACCCAATCGAACAACCAATCCGAGACAAGAATTAATCCGAAGGATTTAATGAGTCGTCGGAGTTTTACGAACACAGACGTCGGATATCGAGCCTAGGGCGTCGAGGCCGAGCGTCGCAAAATCACAAGCAACAAGTACGAGCGTAGCCGTATCATCACATTGGGCTACCCATGTGAAGTGTTAGGCTAGGCTAGCTCAACGCAAACCTAGACGCACCATGCGCGTGCTAGGCGCACCATGGTGTGCTAGGCACGCCATGCGTGCTAGGCGCACTAGGCTGCCCATCGCAGCACCGCAACGTGTGTGCTTAGGTGCCTAGGCACCATCGCAGGCCACACGCACCAAGCACAACACTATCGCATGGCTAGGCTTATGCGTGTGTGCGTGTACATGTGCCTAGGGCCGTCGCATGCCATCGCAGCATCAATAGCACAACACCAAGCATCGCATGCTTGTGCGTGTGGCTGGCGAGGCGATGCCCAGCATGCGTGGCTCGCTAGCAGCACGCATGCTGGGTGTGCGTGTGCGTGCGAGTGCGAGAGCCAGGCAGCCAGCAGCACTTGCTAGCAGCGCCAAGCGACTAGCAAGCAGCAACGTAGGCATCACCCAGCACAGCAGCATGCAGCGCGCATGGGCTGGCTGGGCTGATGCATGCTGGCTGGTGCTGGCTGGATGCCAGCCCAGCAGCCCTTGAGGGCGTTTTTGTGAGGGGTGGGGACCAACCCTTGGGCAATGCCTTAGGGAGCAAGGCAATGGTCCCCCCACTTACTCTTGGTCCTCACTTAGCTCTCTCTCTCCCCTTGACACTTGTTGCATTGTGATTGATTTGATTATTTATTTAATTTAGAATTAAATTAATTATCAATTTTATTCATTCTCCCACATTGGTTGGGAAATGAAAATCAAGGGTTCATTTCCCTATAAATACCAAGGCTTGGGTATTTGGGAAAGAACACACTTGAGTGGAATTGAAAAGGCAACTCTATAATTGAGTAAACCTTGAATTCGTAAAACTCCAAGTTTATATTTTGTCCGGGCCTTGACTAACCTTCGAGGCTTAGGACGATCGGGCCAGGTTCGAGGGTACGATCCCGTTGGAGGCCTCGCATTATCGAGGGTGAAGTAAGAGCTCGGTGTAAGAGCGAAGCATGCGTCGAGGGTATAATTCTCATCCTTACTCTTAATTGTGTTTTAATTATGTTTTGCTTGTATTAGTTGCATTAATTATGGGGGCGGGTCTTGGGGGTTTCTTTCCGCGTAATGAGGGTCACTACGAAACCCTACATAATTCACCACTGCTCGGCCTCTCTAGACTCACACAATCCCTCTCAATCTCAAATTCTCACTCCCGTATTCTACCTTCAACAAGGAGTCAAGGAGTGAGTAATCGGTCCAATTTTCAGGTTCGAATTTTACTCATAAATTATGGATCTAAACATTTGATCTTCCTGATTAATAATTGTTCAACATTGTTTTTTCGACAATTTATATGTTTAATCTGTTAATTTTTACATTTTAATATTATGCTTAGCATTTTGATTTTAAATAATTTTAGGGATTAAAACGTTTTGGGCAAATTTTTAGATTTAGATGTTCTTGATAATTTTTAGGGGTTTAATCTGTTAATATGTTTTGGTGTTAAAGGGGTCAAACTATCATGGCTGAGGATGGATTTGATTACGCAGCTAAAAGAGGTATAGTTCATTCTAATTAATGTTATTATAATTCATTTTGAAGTGTGAATTGCTCTGTAAGTGAGAGGGGCAGTTATTAAATTTTTATAATTGATAAGATTCCATTAATATGCTTCAGTTAAGGAGATAATGATTCAGAAACAATAAAACTTGTTATCTTCAGTGTTTTTAAAGGAAGTTTGGTGTGCATATGGTCAATTTCCGGTCAGCCACCACTGTAGATGTGGTTCTTGCAACTGTCATGCGTGTTATATATAGGTTTGAATAGAGTGGGCTTGTTGGCTTTCATTGCTATGCTTTGATGTGATTGGCTGCAGAGAATTTCTCCTGTCTTCGTAGAGATGTCCCTTGTTACTCATATGTCTATACTGATTATTGGCCCAATGAGGTGTCCCTTGTCACAATGTCACTATGTTTATTCTAATATATAAATTAAACTCCATCAAAGTAGAGTATGTGAATAGTGTAAAAAGTCTAAGTATTATAGTAAAAAAGAAACGGGGAAAGTCTATATATCTGCTTAGATGTGTTAATAGTTTGACGTTTTGCTTTTCAAATTGAATGAATGATAAATTTATCCAGTGACGTGAAATTTAATGTATCAATCTTATACTATATGCCATTGTAAAGTAATTGGAAAAAATTAATTGATTTGCATGTATATAGAATCGCCAGATTTATAAGTTTCTGGTTTTGCTGTCACAGTTGCTCGATTTTAGGTGTTGTGTGTCTCTTTTACTAAGTACTATGTATGAATTAAGAGTAGAACAAAATATTGGCAATCATATGTCTTACTATTACAAAATATATTTCAAAATTCTCTTTATTACAAAGTAGTATAATAAATTATGCATTTTTATTGATCTTACTCCTAATCTTTGCCTGATTGTTTGGTGTAGAGGGTGACTTTGAGTTTGAGCAAGCATCAAAATACATGCATGAGTGTTGAAAATGCTACACCAACACCTGAATCCCATCAATCAATATCTCCAATTCAGGGAAAACGATCTCCTATTTGGCAGAATTTTGAGGTTAATGGTGAACATGCTGCATGCATGTTTTGCAAAAGATTAGTCCAGAAACATAGTGGTTCGGCTGGTACGTCTAATCTAAAGAGACACCTTGATAGGTGCCTATAATATAAAGATTCAGATAAGTCTACTAAGTCTAATGCATCTGAATTTGACCAAAAAGAATATTGTAAGTTATTTGCTAGAGCTATATTGAAGCATATATGGTTATTCTTTAAGTATTGTTGAACATGAGGGGTTTAGGGAATTGCATACATATTTGAATTCCAAGGTTAGAACTATTTCTAGAAACACAATATTGAAATGGTGCATGACTGAGCATGATGTGTTAAAGCAATATGTTCGTAATACATTTAAGGCCTTAACAAGTAAAGTGTCCTTGTCTTGTGATGTATGGACAGCTTGTACTACTCGTGGTTATTTGTCTCTTATGGCCCATTTTTGTGGATAATGACTGGAAATTACGATCTAAGGTGCTGAACTTTAGGCATTTTCCACCTCCCCATAATGGTCATGAAATTTATAATCTGTTTTTTAGTTTGATCAACGATTAGGGTATTGAAAGAAAAATTTGTAGTATGACTATTGACAATGCAAGTAATATGGATTCTATGGTTAGGAAACTCCAAATTGAATTGGATGCAATGGCTAAATTACCTCTTGACGGCAAATATTTTCATGTTAGATGCTCTGCCCATATCTTAAACTTAATTGTCAAAGAAGGTTTGAAAGTCATTGATGAATCTATTGCGAAAGATCAGGAGAATGTGAAGTATGTTGATTCTTCTGAAGCTAGACTTATAAGGTTTAAGCGGTGTGTTTCTAGTTGTAATTTAGCTACATATAGGTGTAAAGCTATAGATGGATGTTCCTACTAGATGGAATTCTACTTTCTTAATGCTTCGTCGAGCTCTTGATCTTTTACCGGCGTTGAAAATGTTCGGTAGGATAGAGAGCAATTATCACTTGGCGCTTACTGCTCATGAATGGGAAATAGTAGAAAAAAATGTGTGATTTTCTTGAACCCTTTTATGACATTACTAATTTGTTTTCCGGTTCTGAATATCCCACCTCCAATCTTTATGTTGCCAACATTTGTAGAATTGAGTCACTATTAGTGGCTGCTTCTAAAGGGGATGATCCAAAACTCAAAGAAATGACAGATCTTATGCGTTGCAAGTTTGATAAATATTGGTCTGATTACTCTGTGCTATTATCTTTTGCTGCAATTCTTGATCCTCGGTTTAAGTTGAAATTTTTTGAGACATCTTTTCAAGGATTTGTATGAAGCTCACATGGTTGAAACAAAAGTCCAGGAGGTGTATTATGAATTTGTTCAACTGTTTAACCATTACAAGGATCCTCTTCCTACTTATTCTTCCCAAGGTAGTTCAAATTCAGATGCATATCATCCACGCAAGACTAGTAGAGTTTATGCGGTAAGATAACGACAAATATTATCATTATTCAATATGTTAATCACTTTTCTGGGTTATTCTGTTTTGATCTTTTTATTTTGTGATTTCAGAATTTTATCGCTGATGTTGCTAGTGGTGACATGGGTAAATCTGAATTAGAATTATACTTAGAATTGCCTTTAAAACCTTGTAATGTTGATGAGGAATTCGATATTTTGGGCTATTGGAAGGAGCAATCAACAACTTCCAAGTCTTTGTCGTATAGCTAAAGATGTTCTTGCGATACCTATTACTATTGTTGCTTCCGAATCTTCTTTTAGCATGGGTGGCAGAGTTTTAATTATGAACTGGTGGAGGAGTTCACTCTTGCACAAACATGTCGAAGCTTTGATAACAACTCGAAATTGGCTGCATGGTTATGCTGAGTTGGAGAAAGATGGGGTTGAGGTGGAGAAAGAGAAGGACGTGGATGATATTCTGCATAGCCATATTTGTAAGTTGTATTTGATTTTTTTAAAATGAATGTAATGTTTTTTAATCACTATAACACTATTATGTCTCTTACTCTCTTATTTGTTTGCTTATCTTTTTGCAGGTGGATGTCACTCACCCTCATTTGCTCACTGGTTTAAAACCTCAAATTAATCAAGCCTGCTGCCTGCTGCCTGCTGCCTGCTTGAGCCTTACTGTCATTTTTCAACATTTTAGTTTAAACTCTTTACTTAGTTTATAACTTTATATACTTGTTCAATTGTAACCACCTTTGTTTTGGTGATGATGAATTGCTATCATTTGAGCTTTTTTTTGCTTCACGTACTCTTTCTACAATAAAGTTTCAGATTGAGCTTATTTGAATTCATTCAATTACTAAAAGCTGATGATGATTTCAGAAGATTAGGCTTTAGTTGAGAGAGACCTATCTACTTCTTTGAATGGAGCAATCAAAGATCTTGAAAAAAGACTCTTTGCTTCAGCTTTATAATGCTTGTAATTCTTGTTTCTATCATTACTTTGGTGGGTATTGGTGTTTAAGTTGCTAGAGCTAATCTTGTAGGGTGTTTGTCCTGTTCATCTTGGCATGTTTTCTCCATTTTACCTGCCATTCCTGTCACTGTCCTTACCTTAGTGTCTTGGTTGTAGCTTGTCTTGGTTGAAGTTTTTATCCATGATGCTTAATTGGTGTCCTGTTCTGAACATTCTGCTGCAATATTACAGAATATATAATTCTATCCTGTATAGGAATTTGTGAGATTAAGTTTTTATCCATGATGCTTAATTGGAGTCCTGTTCTCCTGTTTTGGTTATAGCTTTGTTTTAGCTTTGTACTGGTTGTAGCTTTGTATTAGCTTTGTACTGGTTGTAGCTTTGAATTGGTTGTATTGGTTGAGATAGAAGGTTTTATCCATGATGCAAAGTACAACTTGTGTGTTATAAATAGATAATCATGAGATCGAAGACAGTTGTGTCAAGATGACAGAAAACAATCACAAGCTGCTTTAAGCATTTTCAAAGGAGAAAAGATGACAGAAAAGGGTTGTGTCAAGATCAGAGATCAACGGAAGCCAGTTTCTCACTTTATCTCCTCTTAATTCAGCATGGAGCAAATGGGCTTAACCTCCTAGAAGCAAAGCATGTCATTCTTGTTGAGCCCTTACTTAATCAAGCAACTGAAGCGCAAGCAATCAGCAGGGTGCACCACATTGGGCAGACTAGTAAAACTATTGTTCATCGATTCCTAGTATGTGTTTTCCACTTTTGAAAGTATTCTATATTTATAACTGCAGTATCATGGCTATTGAGTTTTTAGTGTTATTCTCTTGCATGTTTTTTTGGTTTTTCAGGTTTGTTGTTATAGAAATATTTTGTGAAGAAAGCTTGGGATTTTTTTAATAAACAATTATTTTTACATTTGTTTTTCTTTGCTCAATTTCATTCTGCTCAGAGTCTTAACCTTCACTTCTTTATCCCTTTTTTTTTCCATTGGCTGAACAGATTAAGGATACAGTTGAAGAAAAGCATTTACAAATTGTCTTTAAGTAGAAATTCCAGCTCTTTTATTAGTGGGAATGAGAAGAATCAAGATCAGCCTATTTTAACATTGAAAAGATGTCGAGTCCTTGTTTGCAGTAGCACCTCCGGCAGTAGCACCTCCGGCAGCACCGGATAAAAAGTAACGAGCAAAGTAGTAGTATTCTAATGCACTTACCACCTTCTGTTGCTGCTGCCATCGCCGCTGAGAAAAGGCTTGGCCAATCTACAATGTGATTATAGCTTATGTGTAGATTATTTGTGCTGGCCGCTGGGTATCTCAGTTTCTACGGAGTATTTTTCTATTTATTTGCAAGGAGTTATTTAGGTAGGTGTACATATAATTCTTTTATTTTTTTAAAAAATAATACGTAGTATATTTTAGGGCTTCAGCTTTAAGCTGAATTTATGTATATTAAGCAGCAAGTTTCTTCTTATGGTTGTATTTAGCTGATTTATATTAAAGCCTAACTAGGTATATTGAAAAAAAAAAAAAAAAAAAAAAGTCAAAGGAAGTATATATTTCATCCGTTTTCAAAATACTTGCAACACAGACTACACAGTCTTGTCGTAGTCTTCTTATTATTGGAATGCTTCATTGTAGTTGAACTATAATTAAGTAGTTGAATATAAAACAAATAAATGTTTCTTCTGAATTGATTTTGATGCGTATGTGAAGTGTTTATACTAAATTAAAGAGATGCATATATGTACATGTACACTAAGGTTAAGATATGAGACTTGGTATATATATATATATATATATATATATATGTATATATATATATATATATATATATATATATATATATATATATATATATATATATATATATATATACTATAATTAACACCTAAATTTGGGGATGATGCTTCTTTCTTTTGTTGGATCGACTTGGTCTCTCTGCATCCAAGACAAAATACTTTGATCAATATTGACATAGAGTAATTTTAGCCTTACAAAGTTTCGACATAACGAGTAGCTTAGAATATATATAGCATATATCTTTATTCAGTATCTGATCTACAATAATAAAGATGTATAAAATAACAAGTCGATTTGATTTCAGGTCAGGTCAATAATAAGTAGGGTTGAATTTGGGACGAGTGCATAACAAGTCGGGTTGATTTCGGGTTGGGTTAGTGACAGATCGGGTCGGGTTAGTGATAGATCGGGTTGAAGTTCGGGTCGGGTTAGTAATAGGTCGGGTTAAATTCGGGTCGGGTGAGTAATAGGTCGGGTTAAATACGGGTCGGGTTAGGAATAGGTCGGGTTGAATTCAGGTCGGGTTAGGAACAGGTCGGGTTAAATTCGGGTTTTGACGGTTTAAAACGGGTTTGGGTCAATTTCGGTTCAGGTCGGGTTCGGTTCAAGTCAATATTTTACGGGTCATCTTCGGGTCGAGTCATCTCCGGGTCGGGTCATGTTCGGGTTCGGGTCTCAAATACTCGGGTCTCGGGTTTGGTTTCATATCGGGTTCGGGTCATCATTTTTCCGGGTTTAGACGGGTCGGTTAATAATCGGGAACGGGTCGGTATTTCGGGTCGGGTCAACTTTTGACAGCTCTAGGTTCAGGCCATAACATTAAATATCATGTCCAAACTCATACGGACTTATTGGAAAAGTAATAGGCTTTTTAAGCTTTTTTTTTTTTCTGATCAGGTTTAGATTTTAACTAAAAAAAAATGTTTTTAAGCTTATCCAAATTCACTTTTTTTCGAAACTGAGCTACTGGATCAGGCCGTAATTGATCACCATAAACTTTTCACATTTTCTTGATAAAGTTAATGTGGCTATGTACATTTCTCCATCTTTGTGTGGAAGATTCTAGGTGTCTTTTAGACATCTATAAATAGGAGAGCTTTTCACACAATAAGCTTTGTAAGAGAGAAAGAAAGCCACTAATTAAGTGAGAGAAATTTGTAATAGAGTATTCCACATATAATAGTGAGAATTATACTACATTCTGGTTGAAAAATTCTTGCAATCCTACCATCATTTTAGTGGAAGTTTTGGAGAGTAGTCCAATGGTTTTTCACTATTTTGGAATTTTTATTTTAACCAAATTTTTTGTGTCACTTTATATATATATTTTTTATTCTTATTTTTGATTATCCAAAGGGGAAAAAAAAAAACATTTTTCCCAACAAATAATTATGTTAAGATGATGTTTGTAAACTTAAAAATGTAGAGAATTGTAAATCACAAAAATTTTATAGAGATTTTGTCTACAAAACTAAAAGAAGAAAATTAAGACACGTATTTCAACCTGTTGATAACCAATTTTAACATAAACCCACGATTTTTCAAACAAAAAGAAGAATAAACATATGAAGACATTTAAGCGGAGAAAAATAAGCTCAACTCCTCAATATTATCTAAAATAAGCTAGTTATTCCAATAATATGATAAAATTGCATTTTCGTGATTTAGTACAAGAAATAAACATCAAACTACTGAACTACCATTACAAATTTGATTTAATTTAATATTTCAAGATATACCCAAAATTATAAATTTCAAAAAGAATAAAAGAAAAAAAGTTTTTAGCATGAAAATGAAGCATAAATTGATTAAATTAGTGAGATTAGTTTCAATTCGTACAAGATGATTCAATTCGGAGAAATTGATTTTAAGAACGTTTGGTTAGGGTATTCATCAAAGGTAAGGGAGTAAATTGTCTTCATTGCCTTTGATGTATTTGTTGAATCTTTTTTTGTCATTCGCCCCTTATTCCTTTTATCCTCTTTTATTTTTCACTTCCCTAAAAGCCTTCTACACTGATTCCTCAACCCCAAACATTATCCATTCCCTTTTCCACCTCAGAAGTCATTACTCTTCACCCTTTCTCTCCAATAATTCGGCATCCCCTTTGAAACACCGATCGCCATAGTTGCCGACAACATTATCCAACGGGTCAAACATTATCCGACCACCGATTACCTAAAGCATGTTTCTTCTCTCCTTTTTCAATCAATAATCACTTCCATCAACTTTATCACCACCACCACTACCACCCTCCATTCAACAACTCTATCCAACACGCTCCTATCATCACAACCAACACTCATATAGACATACAGTCAAATCTCACTAATAGGCGAACCACCACCCACAAATAACTGAACTCTTCGATTTTTCATTTTACTTTTGTCATTTTTATATGTTTAAATTTGCACTTTATTTTTAAATTAATTATTAAACATTATATATCGGTTTGTTTTATTTAAAGTTTTAACCATTAGCTTATCATAAATCTGGTGGATTGAAATTGATGGATGATGTTTGTATATGATTAAACAATGGCTTTCTGCTAGAATAAATTCTATTGAAAAAAAAAAGTTTTTTATACTTCTCATATGGTGGTAGAAAGATCTCATTTTACAATTTCAAACAATTTTTTATTTTCTTAAATAAGTTTTTTTTTATATATATTTTTTCATATCATATCACTAATAAATAAAGTCGGTCTCGCAGCCAGGCTACGAGAGCGACACTTGGCATTCCAATTTTTTCGCCAAGTGTCGTGTCACGTAAGAGATAAATATGTATAATTGTGATACATATGATGCTAAGTAAGCGATTTTTAGATAGATTTTTTAAGATAAAATTGTTGTATAAAGTTTTATTATTGATAGAATTATAATATTTCATATATACAAAATTAATCATAACTTTTAATAAATATTGTATAACTCAATTTTATTTCCATCATCAAATTTGTTTTAAAAAGTTCTTTAAAAATAAGATCCATTTTATAATGTTAAACGTAACGTGTCAAACCGTGTCACCAACTATTATAGGATCAGAGTTACTTCGTTAGTACTATAGGGGTTACTTGGTCAGTATTATAGTAGTTAGTCAATCAGTATTATAGACAGGGGTTACTTAGTCAGTGTTAGAGGTTGCTCAGTTAGTATTACATGGGTTACTCGGTCAATTTTATAGGGGTTACTTTGTCCGGCCAAATGGTGTGGTTAGCCGCACACAAAATGCATTATTATTTAATTTATTTAAAAAAATATTAGAGAATCTGTAAAATAAGCTTTAATCAGTAAAAATAATTTTAGTTTGGTAAAAACACTTTCAGTTCAGTGAAAATAATTTAAGTTCAATAAAAATAATTTCAAGTCAATAATAACATAAATATCTATTTACAAACAAAACTATACAAAGTACACTCCACATGATGTCGCATGTCTAAATATCCTACATTATCAGAACGAATTATTTGACTGTATTTAATATTCAAGTAAAAATATTACCTTAAAATTTTATCAACCATCTGGGCATCGCTCGGACACAAAACTAGCCACTAATATATAAAGTCGGTCTCGCAGCCAGGCCACGAGACATCGACACTTGACATTCCATTTTTTGTCAAGTGTCGAGTCACGTAGGGGATAAATAGGTATTATTGTGACACATATGATGCTATGTAAGCGATTCTTGGATAGATTTTTTAAGATTTTTTAACGCATATGACACGAGCCAAACTGTGTCACCAACTATTACTAGAGTTACTTCTTTAGTGCTATAGGAGTTACTTGGTCAGTATTATATTGGTTACTCAATCAGCGTTATAGATAGGGCAATGTTAGAGGTTACTCAGTTAGTATTACAACGGTTACTCGGTTAGTTTTATAGGGGTTACTTAGGTAAAAATAATCTCGAATTTTGCCGGTTCATTCAAAATAATACCAACTTTGGATTATCATATAACTAATATATAAAGCTAAACTTTGAGCCAAGCTACGAGACAGTGACACTTGGCGTTTGAACTTTTCGCAAAGTGTCGCACCATGTAGGCGCAATTAATGATTAGTATGACATGTAGGATTAATTTAAATGTTGTTTTTTTTTTTGTAGGATAAAAAGTTGGATAGATTTAGATAAATTTTGTAGGATAGATTTTGTAGGATAAAAAAATCATTTTACAATTTTATTTTTGGATAGAATTTTAAGATAAAACTTTTGGTTTAGAATTCTATTTTCAATAAAATACTGATATTTTATATTATAAGTGGTGGATTAGGGGTATATAGAGGTACAATTGTACCCCCATTCTCCTCCCCTATGAAAAATCAAATAGACCTGTTATTACATACAAGTATAACTGATATACCAGTCTTTATGAAAATATGTGTAACTCCCAACTTATCCTAGGAATTTCATCCAACAATATGAAAGTAGGCGTAACTCCAAACTGATTTCTCCTAATTGCTCTAACCATGCTACTTGCATCACATAACCACCCATATCTATATCTCACTACTACATTTAAGAGCTAATACAACGGGTTTTTTTGTTGTATTAGGTGTCAAAAACCGTTGTATTAGACCTAATACAACGGTTTCCAACCGTCACATTTGCAAGGGTTGGATTAGGTCTAATACAACGGCAAAATAGACCTATTCCAACGGATTGAGCAATCCGTTGGATTAGGTAGATACCTAATCCAACGGTTTCTTCAATCCGTTGGATTAGGTTCCCTTTTGTTTTTTGGGGAATAATTGGACCTAATCCAACGGATTGATGAATCCGTTGTATTAGGTATCTACCTAATCCAACGGATTTTTCGCCCAATCCATTGGATTAGGTCCTTTATTTTTTATTTTTTTTTTACATCCGTTGTATTAGCCCCCCCCCCCCTTTTTTAATACCGTTGTAATAGCCCCCCTTTTTAAAAAAAAAAAAAAAAACCGTTGTATTAGACCCCTTTTTTTTCTTTTTGTTTTTTAAAAACCGTTGTATTAGGTAACTTTTTTTTAAAAAAAATCTATAATAATAAATATAAATTATATTAGTATATTTATAATTTAAATAAACAAATTAAAGTACATATAATATATCTTCGTTGCATTACAAAATAAACGAAGTACATATAATATATATTCGTTGCATTACAAAAGTAAAGGAAGTGTCAATACTAACTAATTATAAATGAAAGTTCACTAGCTAATTAATTAACAAACGTTTAATTTGAAAGCTCTCTAGAAGTTGCAATAGATACATAAAATCAACATTAGTCCTTACTTCATTCATCCCGGGGTAGCTCATCGTCATCAACCACCTAAGTAAAAAAAGTAATGCATAAGCCACAATACCAACAACAATAACAACACCAATTGGGGAAATTAAATAACGCACAACAACACACAAATCAGTCATCAAAGTACAAAATATACAATAAGAGAACAAAAAAATCAGACATCCTTGGCAAGATATCATAATTTTAACAGTTTTCCACATCCAATGGTAAGTGAAATCAAACAAACAAAAGACATCAGAAGGCTATATCAACAGTTTCAGCTAATGCTATGTTTAAACAGCTCGAAGTTGTTAAATACCAGGAACATATTAATGTAGAATGCTATAAAGATTTAAGCAATACTTGTATGCAGTATAGTATTTTTACAAGGGCCTCGGCCCCCTTGGGATAAAACAAAGCTTCATCCCAGGCTAAGAATTACTTAGAGAGATTGATTACTTTCTGTCAGAAAGAAGTCATCTTGAATATTGGAAGATAAATAAAAGGGGAGAGACTGACTATCATCCAAAGATAAAGGTTTTATGAGATTCCTCAGGAATCCAAGTTATCAAAATGGAAACCCACTTCCAGGATTTAATACATCAAAGAGATAAAAATAGAAGTTAAGGCATTTTAGATGTCTCTGCTATAGACTCTAATACCGGCAAGGCCTTTCGAGTGTATGAGCGAAGAGACCGAGGTGGGGGACAACAGGAGGGCACAAGAAGGAACACAGCAATTACACACAAGGCTTAGGCAGCCTTGTTAAGCCGTCACTTTTGGAGAAAGAAGGAGAAGTCAGAAACACTTTTGCTCAAGGACACCTTTGCACAGAAAGGACCATTGGATATTGAGCTCTTCTCTAGTAAAGCTGTTGGTTAATTAGTTGTAATTTAGCTATGATGTTTTGTACGCTTTAGAAACAACTCCTTGTATTAATAGGAAACCACTCATGTTGGAGGGTCATTGAGAAAATTGTAAACACATTGAGAGAGTTGTGGCCTAAAGCTACTAAGAGATTCATGGCCTTAAGTCATGAGTTTGTAATCTGAATTAGTTATCAATAAATACCAACATTCTCCCTAGAAACATTAATTACACTGTTCAGTCAATTATTAGCAATTAATTCCTTGAGTGAGCCTTGATTTTCTGTTTCAATTGAATTAGAGTCAGAGCAGGGAGGAGTGAGAGTTACTGCAGCAGGGGTCGGCTAGCCAGTCTCTGACAGTCTCACATGGGAGACAAGATCCAGCATAATGTGATCAGCATACGACATTAATTATCGCACACCTGATTGTTATGCTCGGGGAATGCTAGAGGGAGATAAGGAGTGGAATGATGCAAGTTGTGAGGCTCTATATGGGCAAACTCAGCATAATTATGCCAGCCCCTTCTATAGTAGGCAGGCAGGCAGGTACGCAAGAAAGCAGGCAAGCAGTTAGGCAGACAGGCAAGCAGTCAGTCAGGCAGGTAGGCAAGCAAGCAGGCAAGCAGTCAGGCAGGCAGGCAAGCTTTCAGTCAGGTAGGTAAGCAGTCATTCAGGCAGGCAAGTCAAGCAGTCAGTCAGTCAGTTAGTTAGTCAGCCAGGCAAGCAATCAATCAGTTAGTCAGTCAGGCAGGCAAGCAATCAGTCAGGCAGGCAAGTCAAGCAGTCAGTCAGTCAGTTAGTTAGTCAGGTAGGCAGGCAGTCAGTCAGTTAGTCAGTCAGTCAGGCAGTTAGTCAGTCAAGGAGTCAAGCAAGCAGTCAAGGGAAGTTTAGAAATTAAAGTTTAGAGCAGAGAAGTGCAGATTATACCTGATTAAATGATTTTGAAGATTGTCCACTTTGGGCAGTATTTCGATTTGGTGCACTAGATGCATCATGCGGAGTCAATTGCTGCAGAGTACTAGGAACCACAAGATTAATCCCGGGGTTCACCTCGCGAATCGAATCCAAAACTG